CTTCTCTTCCAGGAACTGGCGAAATACGAGGACATGGAGGACCAGGTGGTGCTAACTGAGAAAGGTACGGAGGCTGCAAGAGCTCACCTGGTTGACGGCCGAGTGATAGTGCCTGTGTCTCAGGTGCGTGTGTATTCTGCTTTTCTAGAGCTGCTTGAGGATGGTTTTGGCGAGCACCCTTTCTACCACTGTCTGGTTGCAGAAGTGCCGAAAGACCAGTGGTCATCTGAAGGTGAGGCTTCCTGATACTTATTTTTGGATGCTAAATACAGAGAAGCATCATTTGCTTAATATTAGTGATTGTAGATGAGGTTCCACCAGTGGACTGGGGTAGGAGGACTAGGTTAACTGGTAAAATTCAATAATGTATAGTGATACTCTGCTGAAGTGGTTGCTAGTCCTGAAAGCATGGGAGATCAGGTATAGCATAATGTGCTTGACTCCAATTATTAAATGGCTTTTCTTGTTTGACCCTGACTTACCTTTATGTAATTCTGTTGAATCACATTTTTTTCTTTAATTTGTCCCCAATCTTCAGGTTACAGTCTCTAGCTTCGCCATGTACATGGCCCTTCTGTGTACATGGATGGGCGGGGAGGTAACTAAAAGATCCGTTACACAATAAAGTAGATGATCATAATATGAGGTAAGGCCTACAGGGACAAGTGCTATTCCCAAACCTTTACCAAAGACACAGTAGATGGCAGAAACCTGTTTGCACGCTTCTCTTACAGTATGTGCAGAGTGTTATGGCAGATGTAGTTAAAATACTCAGGGTTTATGTTTGAGTGGGCTGTTGTTGGAAGAGTTGGCTGTGGCTCAAGAGCTGGCTCAACTCTTGAGCCACAGAGTTGCAATTGAAGCTGCAGCTTTACTTATCTTGACTTCCTGGTGCTGAAGGTAAAGAAAACAGTGTGATGCTCAGTGGAAACATAAGTGGAAGTGCTTGAAATGCTGCTGTGAAGGTGGCCTGTAAATAGGCCTTCTGGCACAGTAGTTACTGAGAAATATGCATAGAAGGATCAGTGTTTTCCAGGGTTTGACAGACTATTCCTAAGGAAGCAGAGCTGGGGCAGTCATCTGGATTGTGAGCTGCTGTGTAAAGTACTTGTCTTTCAGACTGGGAATGAATCAGTAGGGTGTGTATTATTTTGTAGAAAAAGGCCATGTTTGCACTTACTATGACAGTGCTTTTGAGGATTTCAGGGTATGGAAAGCAATTTTTTGTTTTATTAAGCTGTTACAAATTTGCCAGAACTTGTGTTTTCAATTGTATGCTTATTTGCAAACTTCATTTTTAATTTTATCCTAGTTTCAAATGTCTGCATGTCCCAGAGAATCTGTATGTTTAAACATGCATGTAAAACTTTGTATTTTTACTTTGTAAACTCTGACTAGCTGAAGTTACACCCTTTGTTTCAGAAACATGCATTGTGGGCTTTGCCATGTATTACTTCACTTATGATCCATGGATTGGAAAACTGCTGTACCTTGAAGATTTTTACGTGATGGCTGAGTACAGAGGTACCTATTGCAGAATTAGATGAGTTAATGCCCATAGGGCTTCTGTAGATTTAAAACTTAAGCTTCTTGTGTTTTGTGTTTTTTAGGACTTGGTATTGGGTCAGAAATTCTGAAGAACTTGAGTCAGGTATGTGTAAGTGCAAAGTCTAAACAAGAATTAAAGGAGGTGGCAGGACTCTAGACAGCTTAAAACATTGCCTAGAGTCTGGTAAGCTGAGAAATGCTGCAGTGGCTGCTGGAATGAACTCGGTGACTTGTGGCAGTAGTCAGTTGCTGAGTAATCTGGCTGGGTGACACTGGGGCTGTCCCCAGGTGCTGTGACCGTGTGGCATTGGCTTTGCAGGTGGCTGTGAAGTGCCGCTGCAGCAGCATGCACTTCCTCGTCGCGGAGTGGAATGAACCCTCCATCAGGTTCTACAAGAGAAGGGGCGCCTCAGATCTGTCCACTGAGGAGGGCTGGAGGCTGTTCAAGATTGACAAGAAGTATCTCTTGAAGATGGCAGCAGAAGAGTGAGAGATTATTCCAGCAAATACGTATTTTCTGCGAATATATGTGCTCTCTGAATAAACTTCTTGCTTTCTGTGTATGTACAGTTTGTAGTGGAATAAAGTAGAGTGGATGCTAATAATGGCAGTGCAGGTGTGGTTATAGAGTAATGGTACTGTGATCTGGAGCTGAGGCATCTGTGAAGTTCAGTATGTGCTTGTGTGCATCCTTTACCAGTGTGGGCTTGTAACCCCTGTATATGGAGACTTCATTCTTGTAAGTGTCATTCAACTGTGTACAATGTACACACTGGTAGGGTTTGTTTTAATTATTGCCTTTTATAAAAATAAAATAGTGTTTTCATTTCATGGTAGTAGTTTTGACTTCAATTCTCACATAAAGTTTTCCATCAAATAACATGCACATTAATAAAGACTGGATTGACATCAGCCTTCTCACAAGTTAAATGATTTTACTATGGTCTCCCAGGGGGATAAAAAGGCACTTGTGTGCCTGTGGGACCTGATGGCAAGGTTTGAGCACCTGACTGTTTGAAAGGGTTTGAGATCAACCCCTGGTGGTGCAGGGCGTCCTGCCTTGTGACCTATATTTTTAGGTATGTTTGGAATCCCTATAGTAAGTTGCTGCTCTCTGGACAGCTGTTCCAGAAAGTCCAGAGCTTGGGACTTCCACTTACCTGCAGAGCACCTCAGCAGGAAGGGCATAGCCTTGAAGGGAAAGATGCATCCTGATATGGTTTCAAGGCCTGAGTAGCAAAAAATTGGTTCTGACTAGTCACATGAAATGAAAGTATATTTACAAACCACACAAAAAGTTCCATTTGTTACTCTTAGACCCCCAAACTCGAATGCTTCATGTGCAATGTGTTTCTGATAATGATTTCAGACTGGGTTCAGCATTTGTGCTGAACTGTAAGGGGTAGGAAACCAGCCCTCTGTTTTTTAGCCTTTGCACAGTAGCAGGTGAAAACAATGCTGCTCATCAGTTTTTTAGTTGTCTTTGAAACAAATTAGCAATTTTGCAGTACTGTGTTTGCACCTCTTGTAAGCTGATAGTGAAAGTGGATGCATCAAACTTTGTGCTGCTCTCCTCTTGCTCTCTGGTAACCCTGCAATAAAAGGCTTTTTTTGGCCAGCATTGCTTTCACTTCAAAGGAAGAGACTTAGCTGCCTTGTAACATAAACTTAATAACATAAAACAAGGCTTTAAACCTCTTGGTCACTGCATAAATTATGTGTCACATGGAAGATATTTCCTTATCCTAGACAGTAGTGGGCTGTGACTTTCAGTCATGGAAATGTTGAACTACTTGTAAGAATAAAGTATCACTCTGCCCAGGGCCAACAGAGAGCTGTGCATGAAACTGTTCTTAATTTCTGTTTTGTTTTCAGCTGATGGGTAGCCAGCAGTGTGCCAGCTCTGCCTAGATGTGAGGTTTGGCTGTCAGAGGTTGCTTCAAGAATAAAAAATGCAGGAGCTCTTGAAGGAGAGCAGAAGGTAGCTCTTCTTTGGGGGGATTGGTGGACAAGAAGCACTTGCAGCCCAGAAAACCAGTCATGTCCTGGGCTGCATCCAAACCCTGTGGGCAGCCAGTCAAGGGAGGGGGCTCTGCTCCTCTGCTGCACTCTGGTGAGACCCACCCAGAGTGCAGCACACACACAGCAGCCTGAGGCTCAATCCCTCTCCTACCCAAAGGGAGTGGAAATGTATTACTTGCTTGGCCAAAGATTAAATGCCAGGCTACAAACCTCCCTTCCCTTGCTGGGCCTGTTCTCTTCTGGAATTCAGTAAATCAAAAGAAGTGAGAACAAGCACACCCAAGGAAAGCAGCCCAAGAGCTGGTGATGGAGGCAGAATGGGAAACAGGAGATGCTCTCTAGCAGTTTTCACCGAGCATCAGGGTGTTGTATCTTCTCCTTGGTGAAGATACACCATTCTCTGAGCTACATTAACCATCTCATCTCAACTCCTGCATCTCATAGCTATTGCATCTCAGTCCTAGTGCAATCTGTTTTGAAGTTATTTTAAGCTTGTGCTCTGGCTCCATTTATCAGACCAGAAGGTGATTGCTAGTAGAGTAGTTTAAGAGTGGTTTTATTTTGAAATTAACAGCTCATTAGATATCTAGGGCAGGCCTGCTTAAATCTCAGGCCCCAGACTTCTGGAGCATATCAAAGCTGCATGACTGAATGGAACAGCTAACTAATTAGGCATCATAATTAGAAAAGTAAATAGCTTAGTCAAATTTTCAATCAATTTTAAATTATCATATCTTGTTCATCTTCTGCCAATGTGGCTTACCATTGCATTTTCTAAATGAATTCTAATGGAATGGATTCCCAGGAAGTCACAGAAAAAAGTGAGGCAGTGCTAAATGGGAAGACCTTTCCTAGCCAGTGGGGATAATTTTAAACGTTCACACGTGAAAGGAAATACAAAGACCAAGCTTTCAGATATGACTTTTGCTGAAACCCTACTAAGAGGCAAGGTTTTTAAAACCAGCAGAAGTATTCTCACAGTTTTGGTAAGAGTCTCCAACAGTGATGTGGTAATGCCGTGGGTCAGGTACAGACCAATTTTAAATTCCCTCAGTAACTTTTCCTCAAGCTACGGGAGGACTGGAACTACAATTGCCTCTGGAACTACAATTGACACATACAGCAGAGTGTTTTCTGTGGCTTTAAGGTGCTGAAGAAACCTCACCTGGTGTGACTTTCCTCGGTTCCAGGACCACAATCACACCGCCAAGCTGAGTGCCAGCTTGTGGCGAGGGCTGAGCCACACCAGCTGGCTTTGGCTGGTCACTGGTGTGTCTCACTGAGCCCATGGCAGCCGAGGCGCAGGGCCGGCGTGTGCTCGGCGGCTCCGCCAGCGTTGCGCTGCTCCCCTGCCGCAGCGAGCCTGCCCCCGGGGAAGAGTTAGGGAGCGAGTGTTAGCAGCGCTGATAACATCTCCAGGGAGCCGAGGCAAAGCTCCTCCTCGCTCTCCCTCTCGAACTCATGCCCCGGGAAGTTCTCTTCTCACAGAGCCAGCCAGGGAGCATTTCGCAATGGCAGTTTCCACATTCCCATCGGGTGGGGACAGAAGGGTGGCCTCGGACAGACTGGCGGCCGGGGGATGCGTCAGGACCGTGCAGAGGGAGCGCCGGGCTGGCCGCCCCCGCTCCGCTTGGCCTTTTCCTGTTCACAGGCTCCTGCACAATGATCCGAGCTGTAGCCATAGCGACGACGTGGAAGGAGGCTTTTTTTTTTTGTCTACATAAGTTACAACAAAATATATATGAGGAAAACAACCCTTCCCCCTCCCGTCATCTTATAAAGAGCCTTCGATGTCGATGTAATTCAAAAAGCCAATGCAAACTTTTCCCGTGAAAAAGCACATGGGCGCTTTACTGCATTCCTGCCCGGTGTTTTGTCCTGGGAGAGCCGCCGGCCCTGGAGCCCGGCCCGGGGCAGCCGAGCTGTCCGCTCAGGGCAGGCGCCAGCTCCGCACGCAGCGGGACTCGGGAAAGCGCGGCCTAATTCCCGCCGGGCAGCGCTGCCTCGGGCTGCAGGCCAGCCCAAGGGTGTGTGTCGTGCCTCCCTTCCTTTGAGGTGAGCAGAAGCTTTATTTCCTTCGGCTCGCTCAAGCTGCCTGCCCAGAGCGCTCGTTCCCCGGGGCTCTCCCTTCGCGTCCCTCGGGAGCGGCAGCCGAGCTCCGGGCCCTCACACGGATGGCAGCGCCGAGGGGCCAAACCCGCGCGTCCAAACAGTTCACCTCACGCAGCGGACTCGGCTGGTTTGTTTTGCTTGCCTGGGCAGGATTGCTTAATTTTTTTTTTTTTTTTTTTTTTTTTTTTTTTTTTTTTTTTTTTTACCTCGGGGGTCAGAGATGTGGCTGCAATTTAAAGGAAAGCCTCAGCTGCTGTCTGAAACCAAGCAGCAAAGCAGCACCGAGCCTGCTGATAATGTTTAAGCTTGCTGCAAACTCAATGCAGGCTCTAAATTCACCATCCAGGCGAGATTCCTTCCCAGGACTCTTCTTTCTCTCACCAAGAGAGAAAAGAACTTTTTTTGCTGTCCAGACGTTTTTTGGTAAATACAGCCTTGATGGAGGACTTCAGAAGCCATCAGGAGCCCAGACTTGTCCCCACAGGCCGCTTGTGGAGGAGGGTGTGGGGCTGGCACAGTGGATGTGGGCTCCGGGCAGGAGCACTAGGGGATGCACCTCTCCCGACCCCCAAGTCTTGCCCTGCTGAGCTCTGACTTTTCCTGCAATCAGAAACATTCTGTGTTTGATAGCAGAATAAAGCACAGGTACACACCTCAATTGAAAATAGTGGTGAGGGGAAAGAAATTCCATCTTTAAACCAATTTCGGTTTCATTTCACAGATTTACTCCAGGCCAAAGCAAGAAACAAAAAGCTCCAGGGGATAATTAGCTTGTGAGGATGGGAAACACCATGTTCAGAAACTGCTCTTAGGTAAATGGTTCTGTTTATTTTGTTTGGAACTTTGCGTATTTTGATTGTTGATATAGCAGGTGTCAGATGGTCACATCCACTCAAAGGAAGTCTCTTCACCACTAAAACAGACTAAAAATAACATGCTTTGGTAAGACAAAACTAGGCGCCCGTCCTCTCCTGAAAGTTTGCTGTACAGTATGATGAGGTGGGTTTACATCTTCAGAATCACCTCCCAGGAACCCACTGTGCAGGGATGAGACATGAATCCCTGGAATTCCTACTAGAAAATTTCCTCAGAGAAAAAAAAAAAAAAACGTGAGACACAGTAGCTTTCCACATGAGAGCCCGTCAGTGTTTCCAAGTGACTGGATATTGTAGTGTTATTTTCAAAACACGCTGATAAAACTGCAGGGTGAGACTTTGGAAAGCTGGTTACTATAATTGGACACCCAGATACCACTGTGGAGGTACCTTTGAACAGACCTTCTTTATTGCTCTCATAAAGAGCAAACTCCAATCTGGACTCTCTGTGATCTCCCTGAACTTCCAGATTTGGCCCACTTGCGTCACTGACACACAAACACCACCGCACACCTTGTGCAGGAGGAAACAAAACTCGTAGTTTTGGTCTGCAGTCTCATGCCTTTTGCAATCAGTTCACGTGATAGGATTTGGGTTTCTCCCCCAGCCAGCTTCCTGCTATGTACTAGCACAAATGTAGGAGAACATTCCAATCACTGCCTCAGCGTGTTTTAGCTACAGTTGCAGGTACATGGGCCTTTTTCAGAGTTAATGTAGAGAGATGGATCAGACTCTGCATTCATCACTCCTAGAGGTCATAACCTCCATACAGAGGTGTAGCTTTGCCACTGGGGCAGAAAATGTAAATTAAAAAGGAGGCAGGAGAAGAGATCTGCAACAGTGCAGGGGGGCAGGTGCCGGGGCTGACCACAGCCTGCCACAAAAAGTCACACACACAACAGAGGAAGCAGCATCAAGGGAAACAGTTTAGGCTTTTTTCTTTCCAGATAATGTAATCAGAACAAACTGAAAGACTTATTTCACAAAGTCAGAAGTCTGAGAGGCAAATTTTTGGGATACATTAATAATTTCTGGATTATTTTTACCTCCCAATGATTTCATTATCCATAACTTAATGGATTAGCAAGTACTAATTTTGGATTTGGTGGTGTAGGAGCAGGAATTATTTGTTGCTGAACAGCAACAGGCACAACTAGCAGATGGAGGCAGCAACAAGTGCTAGGATCAAAGAAATAATACCTTATTACTCCAGTTATAAACAAAACCAAAACTAGCTGAAATTTTGAGGGATAGTGGCTATTCTTAGCTAGGCAAGAAAGCACACCCATTTTATGTAACTACATATCTCTGAAAGCTGTAAAGCTGCCAGACTGTAAAACAGGGTGTTAAACCAAAGTCCACTGCATTACAAAGTACAGCTGGTCCAAATGACAGTGAAGTCAGGACAAGGCTAAAGCATCCTAAAGGAAAACAAAAATAAATTACATAAGCAAATACTCAGGATTTATAGGCATGAGTTGATTACTTCTCAGCACAAAGTAATACAATTATTCTGTATTTGCATGCCGTGTTTGCCATCACCACAACTTGAAGCTTGATTACAGAAGTCCTGTAGGGACCCAGAACTCCAGAGCTCCTTTACTTGCCATTTGGGCTTTGGGCTTGTCAGCAAGCTATTGTCTGCTGTTAAAAGCCAAAGCACTTTTCAGCCCCACAGCTCAACATAGTGAGACATCCCTGCTTCAGTCCCAGGCAGGGCCAGCTTTGCTTCTAGGCACCCATAGCCATGTGCCTCTCCAGCAGTTTGGGCAGCTGGGGCTTCCCTTACACAGGCTTATATCTGGTTTCTCAGCTGGGGTATTTTCTGCAATAAGCACAGGATTGCAGAAGTGAAAGGTCCTTTTACACAAGTCTAAAAACAAGTAGAGGTGTAGAGGAGGATGTGACATTATCTCCTGTTTGTTCTTAAAGAAACTGTAGAGCCTTTTGGATCCAAGCAGTGATGGTCCTTTCATTTAAGTTATAAAGCATCAGGTGCTCCTGTTTACAGAAGTAAAGAGTATAAATCAAATATAAATGCACCTCAGGCTCTTGCAGCTTGCAATAAAAGGTTTAGAAGCACCAGCATGCTGTGGGCTGTGCTGGACCAGCCTTCACCCTTTGCCAGAGTGCAGACACAGCCCCTCAGCTGGCTGGGCTGCCCTGCATGTGCAAAGCTCCAGCACCATGGGGACAAGTGGCACTTGCAGCTGGTCCTTCTCTTTCATTTTCTTTTCCAAGCTCAACCATGGTGGCCTTTCATAACTCTAAATAGCACCAAGCTCATCACAGATGCTGCAGGATGTTTCAGAAGAGTTTCTGTGGGAGCTGGCACAGAACAGAGGGGCATGGATGTGTCCCTGAGCCGCTGGAAGCTCTCAAGCCCTTGGCACCCAAGTACTTGCTCTGCACTGAAGGTTGCACTTAGTACTCCACAGGAGATGCCTCGGGAAACAACTACAGACAGCTCCAAGTGTCAAATCCTCCTAGTGTTGTTTCTGGTGAGACTGCAGCCAGCTAAACCTGCCTGGCTGCAGCGTGGGGGACACCTGCAGCTCAGCACCTGCCAACACACACACACAGGCACACACCATGCCAGCCAATGCCAAGACTGCACCCTTTTCCAGGAAGGCTGAGCCCCAGCAGTCTCATGGCATGGCAAACAATGTTTGAGGAGAACCTGGGTTTGTCTGAGGCTGCTTCTCTGCAGCGGGGCTGAGCTGGGGCAGTCAGGATTTAGTGCCTGCTGGTACACCACAGCCAGAGTCACAGCTGTGGCCTCAGTGGGAGCATGGTGGGAGCATGGTGGAAGAGAAACCCGCTGAGGCAAACACAGGCAGATGTGGGGGCAAGCGTGGGTTTGTCCTTCCCCAGGATTTTAGGCATGCCAAGGGCAAAGCAGGGCTGGCAATGGGTCTGCTCTGCTTCTGGGCCCCCTCAGCAGCTACTCGGCATCACAGGGAGAGAATCTCAAACTTCTCCTTCAGACAGGGAAGTGCCTTGTCTGAAGAGGCTTTCGGACTGGAACGTGAAGGCCAAGGGTGTGTTACAGTGCTGTGGGCAGCAGCACACTTGGCTGCCTGTCTCACACGGGTAAAACATACACTGAGTTTTGTAAGTGAAGAAATACAGCACCCTGCAGTGAAGCAGCAAGTCTTCCCAAAAACAGCTTTCTGCAATGCAGCTGGCATGAAACACCAATGTTTTTTCCAGAGAGTCTCTTTTACCAAAACACTGCAAACTCGGTCACCATCACAGGCCAAGGAAGTACATCCAGGATGTCCAGGGCTGACTTCAAATCAGCCTTCCCTGTGACATCTGAGAACAACCTCCATGGGCATCCAGCAGAGCTGACAGCATTAACTAAATCCCCTTTTTTTCAGAGTAGTTTATTTAATCACAGAGTCTCAGAGTTATGTGTGACTCACATCACGTGTGAGTGAGCACATGTATGTGAGTTCCTCTTGTTCTGCCCCGTTAAAGCCATAGTTAAAAGAGTTTTCCCACAGACACAGAGTGGAGTTTGACCTCATTCACAGCAAATACAGTTAGTACCTGAGTGATAATGTGCATAAACAGTACATGAGTTGCACCTGATCATGCTAAGTTTTTTGAGTAGTTTCCATTAAAGGCGTAGCAGTGAACTTATAATACTGGTGTCCAGCTGTGGGATGAGTGGGATTGCAATGGGCTGGGTGAAAAGCTGGCTGAAGGGCAGGGCTCAGAGGGGTGTAGTGAATGGGGCTACATGTAGTTAGTCACCAGTGGTGCTCCTCAGGGCTCAGTTCTAGGGCCAGTTCTGTTCAATGTTTGGATAAAAGGAGGCTGAGGGGCAATCTCATTGCTCTCTACAGCTTCCTGGGGAGGGGAAGTGGAGAGGGAGGTGACGATCCCTTCTTCCTGGGATTCGGTGATGGGATGTGTGGGAATGGTTCAAAGCTGCATCATCAGGGGAGGTTTAGACTGGACATTAGGAACCTCTTTGGCAGGAGTGTGATCAAACACTGGAACTGGCTCCTTAGAGAGGTGGCCAATGGCCCAAGACTGTCAGTGTTTAAGAGGCATTTGGACAATGCCCTTAACAATCTGCTTTGACTTTTGATCACCCTGAAGTGGTCAGGCTGTTGGACTAGATCTTCTTTGTAGGTCCTTTCAACTGGAATAGTACTATTCTGTTCTGTATCACAAGGAAGTCAACAAAAAGTGTGTTGAAGACACTAAACACTGCATTTTAATATAAAATAATTTATTGTAAGTGTTTTATTCTTTAGACAACTGTATTACTAGAGAATTAAATTGGAGACAGTTACAACCACCAGTAAGAAGTGTGTACTACACCCTCTGTTTTGGAAATTGCTGCCCATTGCAGCCAAGTGCTATGTTTTCTGTCCTTAGTCCAGCCAAAAAAGACATGCTCCACCAGGAACCCCAATGTGTCCCTGACTGTGTCCCACCAAGGTGAGGACCTGGTCCCCAAGCAAGGACTGGCTGGTACCTGCTGGCTGCCTCCCTGGAGGTGTTACAGGGGGTTTGGCATGGCAGGAGAGCCCACATCCCACAGAGTCCTGTGGTGGGGCTGACTAATGGCTGAGCCACATCTCCAGTGCAATGAGCCCATCTCCTCTCTTTTCCTGGAGGGCAGTGGCTGGGTGCCACTGGGGCTTTTCCCCATGCCTTTTATTTTGTGAAAAAGGCAGGAGGCCCTGTGATCCTCTGGGCTACCCATGTCACCAGATGTGTGGGTGTGGGGGCTCAGCATCATCTTGAGATCACCCTCCTTGGGCCATCTCCTCCCAAGATGGCTTGGTGCCACCTGACCCTGTGAGCTCACACCAGCACTGCTGGCAACACCTCCTGCAAGCCAGCCCTGAAAATTCCGGTCGGGCACCCAACACCTGCCAGTTTCTTTTTAGTCAGAGGCTCTGCAATACTCGGTTTTATCTGTCCTTCCCTGCCCTGTGACAGCCCCTCCTCCACTGACTCATCTGAAGGTACATAGTGCCCAGGGAACTTGGCACTTGGCAGGAAACCCTCGCCTCTGCTGAGCCTGATCAAAAGTAACCTTCAAGAATGCCCCAGGAAAAACATTTGGTGCACTTCTCCAGCAAAATGTTTAATAACATTTATCAATCCAAAACCATCACTGCACTGGGATTATCATATTAACATATTGGTTGTATCTTTCATATGTTTTCAGTAAGATAACGATGGCTCAGGCTTGTTAATCTACAAAAAGAATTAGGACACTGTAATAGCACGGGCGTGCTTGGAAGGAAACTTCTTTCTTATAAACACATTCTGGTTGTCTCTTTCCTTCCTTTTTTAGGACAAATGAAATAGATCAAGTGAATAAATCAGTGCCTAAATCTCCATCACAGAAGCAAGGACCCCTTTTCATTGCCTTGTTACAAGTAAGTTGTTCTCTATGAAATTTATTTAAAATCTCAAATTAATTTCCTTTTCCTGAAGTTTAAATGTTTAAACACCAAAATGTTTAAAGAATGTCTCACCTAGAGCAGTCAAAATAAAACTCATTATGAAATGATAACAAGACTTTAGTGTTACAGTAGCACCTTGAGTGAAATCAGGGCTTGGAGGGCTGTGCTACTGGGTGCCTTCCCACCTCCAGCTTTGTGCATCCCGGAGAAACAGGTTTTCCTCTTACACAGCTGCAAGTTCCCCCCAAAAATGTCCCTTAAGCTTTAACCCGGGGAGAAGTGAGTGGCCCCCTCCAACTCTACTGCTGAGCTGGGAGTAGGAAAGGGACGAAAGGAGAAAGGGATTGGTAAGAAACCAATCCTTACTAGTGCGGGGAGAAAATCAACAATGGAGAGTGTGCATCAAAAAATCCACTGTAGGTTTTCACTGTGCCCTTTTCAAACCATAGTGCACATGTTTGCTCACTCTTGTGTTGATTTTTCTTTTTTTTCTTGTCCCCATCCTGCAGTCAGTGTGGAGGGAAGGTCAGGTTTGGGGAGCTCACCTGGCCAAGGGTACCACAAGATTCCCCAGTCAGGACAGCTGTCTCCTGTAGCTGCCTTCACATGAGCAGGAAACAAAATGTAAGAAAAACAAACACGATACCAACCTCTTCATAAACACTCATAACCTTGAATAGGTTCCTGTTATGCAAGGCACACCCAACACCCTTTCAGGGTGCTGCAGGGCACCAGAAGTGCTGCAAAGCTGCTGTTTCCAGGATTTTAGGTACAGCCACCCAGATCTGCAGCCTCTCCCACAATGGGGGAGAAGCTGCTGCTGTGCCAGGATGAGGAGACAATCTGCAGGCACCTGTGCCAGCACTGGGTGATGTGGGACATCACCTATGGCCCCACATACCACATGTGTAGAAATAAGGGCTCCAGGAGCACCAGGAGTGCTCCAGGCACGCTGGTGCAGAGCTGTAGTACCCTGCTCTGGGTCAGATGTGGCCATTGAGTTAGCACAGCCATCATCAGTAAAAATTAACCTGGTTCACAACCTTGAAGTTTAAAATAAATTACATTTTTAAAAAGAGTGAGGCTATTGTTTTCCAGCTCACAAAATAGTAATTGACCAGGTTTTAAGGAAACACTGTTCCAAAATTCCAAAGTGAAAAGAGCAGCTAGTGATAATCATATATGAGGAGCTTGAGCATCTGTATATGAGAAACCTTGAAAGCAGGGATGATGAGGTGCCAGAATTCCTCAAGAAAATTACTGAAGTGAGAGAAGAACTGTAAAGAAGACCTCAGCAGGGCCCCCGGGCCAAGGAGGTGCTCTGGGCAAAGCCAGGAAAGTCCACCAGAGAGGGGGATCACAAACACAGCAAGACAAAAATGCTGAGAGAAAGCAGGTAGTTGAAGAGAATTAAGGCAACAATCAAGTATGAAAACATTACAGAATCTTCTGCCCAGGAACCCCGCCACTGATCCTGCATGGATCAGAAAGAGTCCCACTTTTCTAGTCAGGAAGGATGCTGCAGAACTCTCCTGTTCTCCAGGAGCATCCCTCTGGGGCTGGCAGGTGAACCAGATGGGTCTCACAATGCTCCTCAGCCTTCCTGCAGGCAGAGCAGTCTTTCAGCTGCAGGCAGAGAGTGGAGAACTCTTGTGCAAATAAAACTGCTCCTCTTGCGCATTTCACTCCACAAGGAAAATATAAACATACAGAAAGTCCCACAGGACTAGTAATTAAAATTAATGCCTCACACCTCCTTTGTGGTTATGATTTTATTTATTGCAGTTTACTTACAAGTGGTGGCTATGGGTTTACTCATGGTAGTAGCCTTCCAGGACAAAAATCAGGCTTGGATCACAGCACATCACAATCTTAGTTCAGAGACATGTGGCCTGAGGTGTGTAGAGCTCTACCTACACATTTATGTTGCACTTTTCCTCACCCACTGGGAGCCTAAAATCATTTGGGTTTTATGCTCCCATAGTTCTGTTACTTTTGGGTTGTGAGTCACCCTGGGCTGGTTAGCCCAGGGCAGAGAGTGTTTTTATACCACTACTCCTCTAACATTCCTCAAACAAGAGACTCTTGTTTAGCAGGCTAACCTCATCTGCAAATAGGAAGGACTATACTGTAAAAGCAATAATGGTAAAAAGTGACTGGTGAATATCTGGCCTTTTTAAGAGTTCAAGAAAGGTTATGGTAGTAAAAGAGGATGCACTCACATGCTACCACTTTTTCCACAAGCTAAGCCTCCTTCCCCTTTACTGTTTTCTTCTTGGTCAAAACACAGTTGCTGATTTTAGCATCTGTGTATTTTGCTCTCTTGTACAGGGAGAGATCATACTGATCTTATTCCATCAAAGCAGAAGTACAGCCAAAGTTTGTTTGACCCCAGGGACGTGTCCTCGTACAGTTGGATGCTGTGCAAAAGCTGCTTAAATGGCAGAAGACTCCAATATTATGTACAAATTGGCTCGCTCTCTCTCTTGGCAGGGATAGAGAGAGGAGACTAGCGCACATTTCTTTCTTCTTTCAGGCAGTAACAGCTCATCCCTTTCATTGTCAGATGAACCCGGAGGCGAGTACAGGAGAGATAAACAGAGCAGAGCGTGCCTCAGTGACCTGGCAGTGAACCGCAGGCAGGAGAGTGAGCCCTTACTGCGGCAGAGCCGCGCTTTCCCCGGCCTCGGCCGAGCCCGGAGCGCTGCGCTGAGCCCGCGCCTGCCCCGGCGGCGCCGCGCCTGACTCAGTGGCAGCGCCTGATGCATTCCTGTCTCTGGCAGGATATGAAAAATGTGTCAAGCCTGGCACACGACACTAAACATAATCCTTTGGGCTGGCACTGGTGCTTTCACCAGCCCGTTTTGGTGTGGGCAGTTTGTAAAAGATGCTTTTTAGACACAAGATCAAAACCCCCCTGGCGCGGTTCCTCAGTAAATGCAAAGATGACTTCAACGCGCACTGCGCTGAATTACAAAACTCCTTTTTTTTTTTTTTTTCTTTTTTCTTTTGGTCCCACGCCGAAGTATCAGCGCCGTGCTTTGAACTGAGGTTACCTTTATGATTCACGGCATGAATGAGCACTTAGTGTGCGCATACAAGAGCCCTGTACGAATCAGGAAGTGGCTCTTTCAGGTCTCCTGACAAAAGGAAGTGAGTCTGAAGCTTGCTAAATTTACAAAGAGGACGCTGGTGAACTTAATCTGGGGCAGGGGGTGGGGGGAAGGGAAGAATCTATTTTCTTTCCACTGAGGATTGATACACAAACTCCCCATGTTTCTGTACACCGTTTTTAACAACAACAACAACAACAATAAATGAAATGGGCTAAAACTGTGGTGGCGAGGGCCGTCTCCATCGGGCTGCCTGTGATCGCTATCTGGTACGTGCATACAGCCACGGAAACATTTCTGGCTTCGTGCTTCAGCGTTCCCCCCTTCGCTGGGGCAGCGAGAGCTTCCCTCCATCTCCGGGGTGAAGATGTGAGCTGGCAGGGAGGGAGCATCGCGGCGCACCCTGCTCGGGGCGTCCCTCCCTCCTCTGCCCGCGGAGCGGGACCACAGCAGGATCCAGGGCTGCTCCAGGGCTGCTCCAGGGCTGCTCCAGGGCTCCTCCAGGGCTCCTCCAGGGCTCCTCAGCGCTCCCAGCCGAGCGCTGCATGTGGCTCACTTTCAGTTCAAAGAAACCGACTGAACTTCCCCAAAGGCGCGGGTGCTGCGCCCTGGAGTTGAACGAAGGTACTCTAGATAAAGACATGGAAGATTCAGGTGCAGTGGGACACAGAACAGCAGATTTTTGAAGATTTTGGTACGGGACGTGGTGGGTCCTATGGCTTCACACTGTAATGGCCAAAGCAGAGAGAAATTTTTTTTACCCAGGTATGCAGGGGCTGAACTCACTACTGCAACCACATTGCACAAGACCCTGGAAAAAGATGAGGTGCTCTCTGACAGCCCTCCAGTACTTGTCTGCACAGTCCCAGGGGTCAAAGGACTGCACCAACAGCCTTCCTGCCACAGCATCTGTTACCCCAGCCAAAAAGCATGGAGCAAATGACCCATCCTCTTACTTCATAGGCTGTTTTACCAACTTCAGGTTAGCTTTGCTGAGGAAGAGCTGGACACTCAGACTAAAGGGCATCCTTTAGCTTTTGTCTCAATCAAATTCTTGAGTCTTGTGAATGTTTCTAGTCACACTATAAACAAAAAGAGAAGTTCCCTGACCTGGCTGCCCAGTTGTCCCCATTGCTCCTTTCACAGTGGGCACAAAGGCTCTGGGATCACAAGCACAGCTCAGGCTGTGCCATGGCTATTTCCCAGGCACACTGTAAGCAAGTCAGCTGGGATCCTCCTCCCTCCAGAAGATCCAGCAAAGCTTATCCACTACAGGATCATGCCCCAGTAACTGAGGCTGATGATGGAGCACTGCATCCAGTTTACCTGCCACAGCAGGACACAGCGCTCGTGACTGACTGGCTTTGTGTGTTGGTTGGTAGGTTTAGACCTCAAAATGCACACACACACACAAAGAAAAAGGGTAAGGAGGAGTCAAGAAGCTTAGTCTAGGGCAGGCATTGTAGGTGCATTTCCAATGGAGCACAGAGGGAGGAATCTTTTTCAGGGAGCAAACTTGTAACCAGTTGTGAAACATCCTCAGCCCACCTTCGATTTTGCCAGCTTTCAACATCAGTGCAATGCTTACCAGAACACCAGCTTGAAATATGGCTGTGAGAGCAGCACTCCAGAGGAATCCATGAACTTCAAGTCCAGCCCAGACTTTCATCTTTAAGCAGAGATAGCCAATATTTCACTGTCATGAAATAGCAGAAAACACTCCAATTCCATCAATACACCAACATTTTCTGCAGAGGGACCCTAAGAAAGCTGCCAGCTCCAGCTGACTTAAGAACCATATCCGGTCAAAAAATACAAGAATCAGCTAATAATACAGACTTAAAAGGACAGAGGGTTGTTGCACAATTAAAAACATACTTTTTTCTACTAAAACAACATCTGCTTTGTAGTTTAGATATGGTTATCAAATGTCTTCCTTGTAAACAAGAAGCTTTTGTACCTGTCAAACGCTCTCTGGAAGGGGGCTAACCTAGGCAGCTGCCAGGCCACCCGGTGCAACATCCAACCCTGCTGTGAGCGGCTGCATCCAGGCAGGTCCAGTGGGAAACCCTGCAGGATTCAGCCTGAACAGCCAAACAGCCTGAACAGCCAAAATGCTCTTTGTCAACAGCAGTTTATTGTGATTAAACTGGCTTTAGAAGTAGCTCAGAATTAATAGGAAGGCACAGAAATAATCAAAACAAAACAAAAAAGGAAAAAAGTACCAAATGCAGCAGTTTGTATTTTTCCGGAAGCAAATGTGCTCACACTGAGGCTTTTCTGCCAATAAATAGCAGTAACAAGTCCCTTCAACTCCCAGGGCACTGTTTTCTCAAGGGGTAAAATGCAATTCCCTTCACATCAATCTTTACTGCTCTCCTTGAAGGTGACAGATGCAATGACAAATGCTCCAAAACATTTTAATTATGACTGCTGTGAAGTCTGTGTCTGGGGCCTTCTGCAGTCAGAGGACTGAGTCTAAACCAGAGTTTTGCAATGAACATTTGTAGCAAAAACCTGTGTGTTTATTGAAGGCTGCAAGATTGTGCACATTTACCTGGGCTAACTGGATTATTCCAGGCTGGTGATGCTCCTTCTAGCAAACAGAGGCTTTGCTGTCACTTTTGACAGGAGACATGCTGCCTACGAGAATCCTCATCCCAATGCAGGGCCATCCTGATGACCTCCAGTTCTACGACCTTCACATGCTGCAGATTAAAGGTGGTGTTTTTAAGAGAGAGCACTGCAACCTTGCCCCAGCATTTCCTGCAGCCAGGGTAGCCAAGGATGCTGAGATGAAAACGCTGCTTTAGCTGCACACAGGCCAGCTACCAAGCCAAAAAGCTCAAGTGCAAGGATGACCAAACACAAGACTTGGGTGGGGAATATACCATTTTTAGCCTACATTGTAATACCCACAGGCAACGTCTGGCAGAAGATAACACATGCATGCACAATTTAGTTCCATGAGTGCGCACACACACACATATATAGATATGTATAGACATCAGCAGTGGTCAGCTCTTCCCCTGTTCCTCATTAGGAATGTCTGGACCAAGAGAGTTGAATGTTCCTGAACTCTTGGGCTCTTACTAGCATTACACTTTTTAAAAAAAATTCCTGTAGTTATAAAACCCAGAAGACATA